TTCATTTTAATATGCATTAATTTTGATTGAATTATCACTAATACAGAAAAAAAAAATCACAGAATATGTCATATTTTTGGTTCGTTAAACTTTTTTTAACCAAAATTATAACCAATAAAATAAAAAGAAAAGCACAAATAAGTTGAAGCACAGTAATAAACTAATGACATAAAAAATATACTGTATCTTATTATCTTTATGATATCTGATAGCAGTTGTTGTATAGTGGGAACTCTAATGTTGTGGTTGTGAAGAATCATGCCATACATATTTAAAATTGTTGCTATTTTTGAACCAGGAGAAATTTTGATTCCATTTCAGATACAGCCTGTGCAATCACTTTCTTAAACACAAGATCTTGTGGTGATATGAAGGATAGAACACAAGCACCTGGTGTAGCAAGTCTATTTATATTTTTCTTTAGTTCTACTATATGGTTACCATATTGGACATTCATAGTTTTCTGTACCAGTGTCTCTGCACTTTTTCATGATGACTGCAATTCATCTTTGTTCTTCATGTTAAAACTTATTTGTGGTTTAAAATAAGCATGTCCTCTTTTGAATGAATCCAAGTAATCTTCAGACACTGATTTATCTGGAGTAAAATAGAAGCCATCATTAAACAAAGCTTTTCTTAAAGAAAAGTGGGGCATATCTGAAACTCTGCATTCAATTTCACTTTCCTGATGAGAATTTATACCTTTTAATTTCAGCTATTCCACAGATGATAAAAGTGTACCTGTGGCTCCAGATATTTTTTAATTGTTCCCAATTGATGTCCGAGTTTCTCTTTTTTATGGTACTTAATTTAGTAAAGAAGGAATCTATACAATCACTCTTGGTTCTTCTGAATGCTGTGTTTGTTTCTGTTTTTTATTAAACAGGGTTCACAGACAAAAATCACAGGATAGTCTGATTCAGAAATAGAAATATCTAAAAATGTTTATATTCTAGGAATAATTTCTTTGCCTGATAATATTTTTTGTCCATTAAAGCAAGACAGTCACTGCCTTTGACCAGAACATGGTATACATCCTCCTTGCATAGTTAATGTTACAGAAGTAGGCGTATCGTTTCTCTTAGCAACTCGTGTGAGATTTACTTTTCCTTGAAATAGTTCAGTCTAATCATATCAATCAGAATGTCTGCCCTTCCCCACTTTCTAAGCCCCCAGTAAAAGTCCGATATACTATAACATAAGTGTCACTTCCAGCAAAGAATTTAATCTATTTCTGTGCATGTTGAACACACCCAAATTTATAACAAGGGGCAAAGATATACCCGATTGTGCTTATTGCACACTAGCTCCATCTACAGGGTTTGTTGCCAATATAATATGTATATTATAAACACGTATCTAAAAGTGTTAGGGCAAATTATTAGAGTTAAAATGTTAGATACTGTTATATAACTTTAAATACTACTCATTCTCAATAGTAGGGGACTGCTGTGTGGTTTTTCAAAATTTTCTGTTTACATGAAAAGTTAGATATACAGTTTTTGTTTTGTTTTTGCACAGAAATGTACAAGTAGTTCAACTAATTGTAGTGTGTAAAAGCAAATCTTATGTTAATAATTATTATTATTAGCATACAAAACAAATCAACTTTTAAGACATAAACAACAGATAAACTGCAAAATTGACTTAAAAGTCTTTATTGGTTACAAAATATGGTTATAATAATGTGACTCAAAAAATGATCTAATCGGATCTGCACAAAAATCTAGAAAATATGGTACTTGATTCTCAACTTGGCTTTAACTGTACATTTGTGCTTTTGTTACATTATTACTTAGCAATTTGCTCTTTAGTAATGCTATAATATACAATAGTTTCTTCAATTTTTACCTGATGGTGACCAAGTTTAATAGTAACTCTCAACTTTAATTTAGAGAACAATATGTTTCCATTTCAGCTTTTCCTACAAATGTAGAACAATTTTTTAGTAAAACACAGACAAAAAATCTTGATATGTTACTTCTACATATGAACATTATGTACTGTTTGTCTGTGTATCGTTTTATTGTGTGATAATTATATTTACTTATTCCAAATGTTTTTCTTATTAAGTGAAAAAAGAAAAACTTCTTAAACAATCTAAACATTTTGTAAAATACGTAGTTAGTGTTCTGAATTGATAAAAATGTCATTATAACAATAATTTTAAAACATGTATATCAATTGTTGCCTAGAAGTAGGGTTATAGTACAGTTTGTTTTTATAATTTTCTGAAGCACCAGAAATAAAAGATGATATGCCCACCACAAAGAAAGGTTTGAAAAAACTTCGTAAAAGGCTGAAACAAAACAACCAGAAAAGTTGCAACAAAGGAATAGCAACAGTCAAGGATAAGAAGTTAAAATGCATAGTAGGTAATAGCGGGGTATATATTTTTTTCTTTATGTATATGGTACCGTTACTGAAAACTTAATATTCTTTGTTAAGAAAGTTAATAGATTTGTGGAATTTTCTAGACATACTATATGTTAAAATTGCAACACCATGAGGTCATAAAGTATTTATTATCTTTTGAATACTAACAACACAAAAAACAAACGTAGTATTCAGCATTTTTCGATGATAATGAGCATTTTACACTAGGACTCTGAGACAGTAAAATTGAGTACACTGATTCATAATTAACACTTTCTTTACAAAAGATCTTTAAAATAGGAACTTAAAATTATTCAAATGTCAAAGCAATATAGTCATTAAAACTGAGCTTAGATGTGATGGTTATTTAATCAGTTTGTTATGTTTGAAAATTATATCTTTACTTGCAGTTATAGATACACTCGTGATGAAAAAATTAGCACAAAGATCACCAAAAAAATCCAGTGGATTTAGAAAGACCTAGAAACTATAACACTTTTGAATAGTTGCTTATTCCACTTCAGGAGTAAAAAGGACCATTTTTAGTCCTGAAGAATTATAGGCAACTATTTGAAAGCACTTGTTTCTGGGTTTTTGAGTTATAGGAACATAGAACCCTCATAATTTCCATTGCTGATGTTGGCATAAATCATGCATAAGACACAAAAACACCATTGGTGGTAGACTGCCCAGTAGTGGATACTGTGGGCTGTCATCAAACACCTGTTGTCACCAACAGTCAGTACTGTAAAGTACCAAAGATGGTTTATTTCCATAGCAGGCTACCCTCCCTCATTTAGCTCATCCTTTGGTTCTTTGTCCAAACCAATAGAAATAAAAGTATGTAGCTGCAGTGACCCATACAGGCGTTTCAACTGGACACTTCAATCCAGTGAATCAACAGAGAAATACACAATCGTACATATTAATTACAAATGTGAAATTCCACACGTTGCACATACTTCTATGTAATGAGTATCTAAAACATTTCTGTCTGCCTACTTGTACTCGTAACCAGTGTGCATAATGTGGTGAAGAAAGGGAAGACCACCGGATGTACTAGTCTCCATTAATGAACCAATCCTCAGTTCATGGAAACTTTGAAATTTGTTTTAAAGGAAACTGCACGTGTAGCATTAAATCCATCACATTGGACTTTGAAGAGAGGCCATAAGTCTTTACCAGCATCTCCAGTATGTGCAAGGATTTCACGTACTGTAGCCCATAAGTGGCTTATTATTGTGCACATATTATGGACTTTATTTGGATTCATATCATAGGAATGAGAATTTTTCACCAATTGGTAGATTTTGGCCTCTTTTTTTAGTGTTACCCATGGGTGCTAGTGAAATTCAAAATAATTAATTTAGAAAGAGAGTTAGAGTGTATTTTATTGCCTGTTTTACCATTCAAATAAAATAACATACGTTCAAAGTTGTGTTTTCCATAAACAAGCAGCGCCATATTTCCGTCAAGCTCTACAGTGACATATTCTCTGCATTTTGTTATTTTATTAATTATTAACCAATCGGAACTTAATTAATGTTTTTCTGATTTCACAAAATGGCATGTTAATGGTTTTCTCATTCCAACAAATTTGTGAAAGTTTGCAGGTTAGATTAATTTAAAGATGGTATGAATTAAAAAAACATCAACAGTTATCAAGCATCATGATGAAGAAAGGGCTAGATAAGAGGGTTAGAAGCAAAATGTTGGAGAAGTAACTAGAAATGACATTTTTTTATGGGAGAAAACCAGAAGCCGTGAAGCTAGAACTAAGAAAATAGTTGGGAGGGAAAAGGTTTATACACCGTATACCACAAACTTGAAAACTATGCTTTGTGGGGTTGTTCTACAAACATGACACATAAAAATACTAAATGAGACATGGAACTGTCAAATGACTAACCAAATTTTGCTTATTTACTCTAAAATTTAAGGGTATCGTATCTTTCAGGTATATGCAAAAAAAACATGAGAATCCATCAGAGCTTTTAATTTTCATTGTGCTCAAAATATTTCAGACTTTTTTTACAGATTTACGTGACAAATATAACAACTAGTAGGAAAAGTTAAAAAAAGTATTTAGATTAACCTTTCCACTACTAATTGTGTCTTTAGAATATTTACGGGTACCATTTAATCCCTTTTTGTTTTCCTAATCTAAAAGAAGATAAATAAATGTATCACAGAATATTTTTCTATTCTTAAATGTACTCTTAATGAATCTTTTCAAGCCTTTAAACGTATGACAACTTACCATTTCATTAACTTTGGGGATAAAGAAACCTTTTGAAAAATTCTATTCTCTATAATTATTGCAGAGGAACTAAGGAAGAAGCAACAAGGAGATATGACACAGGAAAATATTGAACTCCTGAAAAGACTTGGAGGTATGAAGACAAAAGCAAATACAACAAAACAGGTGAGTGTGAATCTACTTTTCTGGACATAATAGGCTAATCTCTTTTTATACACAAGTATGTAGTAAGAAAATAATTAGCTTATAAAATTTGAAAATTTAATTATTGCAAGTTTTCAAGCAAACAATATTCAGAACATTTAATTAAAAACGACAACTAAAATTTAATTCTTTATATTCTTAGGGGAAGTAGTGGATCGAACACGATCAGAATCTTTAAAATAAAGATTCATACATCTTGGATAGTCAAAAGATTTATACATCTTGGATAGTCAAAAGATTTATACATCTTGGACAGTCAAAAGATTTATACATCTTGGACAGTCAAAAGATTTATACATCTTGGACAGTCAAAAGATTTATACATCTTGGACAGTCAAAAGATTTATACATCTTGGACAGTCAAAAGATTTATACATCTTGGACAGTCAAAAGATTTATACATCTTGGACAGTCAAAAGATTCATACATCTTGGATTGTCAAAAGGTTCATTTAACAAGAACCATTTAATTTCTGAGCTATAAAATGTTGTAGTGAATTGCCCCCTAGTGGCACAAGTTTGAAGGCTTACAAAGCTACAAATCAGGTTTCTATATTCGTGGTGGGCACAGCACAGATAGCTTTGTGCTTAACTAGAAACAAACAAGATAGTTCTTGTTTTTTATAGACGTTGTACATTTCACTAGTTTAGTTTAAAAATTCATTTGTGGCTAAGTAAAAATTAAACCAAATAGTCAAACACTGAGTTGTACAATGGTTAGCATTCAAGATGTTCACTATGTCATGTGAGCTTTAATTACCATATTGATTGACAAATAAATAAATTTTCTGAAATTTTACAGTTTTGATATCATAAGAACATCGTATAACAAACATTTAGAGATAAGCATGATTTTATTTGCTGAGAGGTACCTATTAATATTATGAGCTTGTTAAATTATTTTATCTTGAAATAATTTTTAACTACTTGATTTGTTTGAGCAAGTGAGTTCTGTTTAATTTGATTTATACTGTTGATAAATTTTTCTCCTCACTTATAATTTTAAGCTCCTTTGTTTCAACAACAGCTGGAGGATCTACAATCAGTAATATACATGTTTGTTTTGTCTTCTGAGAGAAATAATAAGGTTAGATGAATCATATATTTTTGAGTGTTTACTTTGTTAAACATATAGAACATTTTTTTTTAGCGATTAAGATAATTGTTTTGATTATTTAGATCCTGGTCCACCAACAAGGAAGACTGTCTAAAAACCAACCTCCAACCCAGAAGGAAGAACAGTCTACTGTGTTTACTGACAAAGATTTTGAATTATTTGAAAGGGAATATATGTTAATAAAACCCAAGAAAGATCCTTTTTTTGATTGAACCAACGAAGTAAAGCTTTTGTAAACTGTAATCGTGTTTTTTAAAATGTGAGCTTCAGACTCGGCAGAGATCGTCAGTCAAAAGGAGCCACATTCAAAACTGAAACAAACAATGTTATTGACTTACTGTCCTACGTGACTAGAATTTAAGCAAAGACACCAGTGCATGACAGAAACTCAAGCACCTTTTGCAGGCCTCCCAGTAAAACCTTCATTTTTTGTTCTTATTCTTTATTTAATTTATTTTTGGTTAAAATGAGCCAAAAAAAACTAGATTTAAAGGTAAACCCAGACTTTCAACCACAAATATTGCTGTTGTCATGATATTATGATAAGCATCTAATACAGATTGAAGGAAATGATGATTTAGCAGCATTTTGGTGTGGGGATTATAATTCAGACCTCATCATGAGCATTATAAGAACTGACATAGTGGTAATATCTACGTCATCACGCCATTTGATATTTTACAGGTGGATATAGAAATTCACATTTATTATTATTAGTCAAATATAAATTATTTATTTGTATTTAACTATACTTTGGTTCACAAAACCAAAAATTACTCTATTTTTTTAGTGGCCCACAAGAGGTTTAAAAATGTATCTGTTGGTTTGGCACAAAGTTTGATTTCATTTATGTATTCAGTAATAATTTACTGTCAGAAACCCACTAGAAACAACTGTGTGGACAAAGTGTTATCCCTAACATATAAAGAAATTTCATGGATTTGCATTATCAATCTGATTTGGTGTGAAGTCTTAATGTTTCTTGGAAAGTAAACATTTTCTATTGTTATAGTTCTTTATTCCTGTGTTTCAGATGTTTCACTTTAAAAAAAGTATTGGAATGGAACAAAATCACAAAGTAAAAAAAAGAACTGTATGAAATATGAGTGAGTTTCCAAAGCATGGTAGCCTAGATAATAAGAGCCAGGCATGGCCTATTGACTCGTGTTCCTGGACTATGAGTGTGGGTATTCATGGTTCGTGACCCACGGCTGCAAATATGCGCTCTACACTTTGAGGCCATGGGTGAATTTTAAGAGTGAATTTCACTTCCTGCTGTTTGGTCAGAGAAATGTAACCCAAAAATTTTCAGTGGGTGTCTTCCCTCTAGTCTATTTGTTCATAATTAGGGATGGTAGCTCCCATGTATAGGTTTATGAAAAGGTTCTGAAACAAACTTAGATTTTTAAAAAAATGACATGTTTTTGCTACCAAAATTTTCAATGATGAGTTAATGAACTGGGCCAGTTCAGAACTCTTTATTTGTATTTTGAAGAAAATAACTTCACAAGAGAATGGGTTTTTAAGAATATAGTTGCATGTTTAATATTTGGTAGTTTCAACCTGAATGGCATTTTATGCAACCCATGAGTTAATTTGCTGTTGAAATATCCAAAAATTTAGGAATAAGGCATCTCTAAGTTAGAAATGGTGACGAGAGGAGGATCAGTCGGTTAGCATTGCTCGCATGGTTAAAGTTACTTTTATAGTCTAATAGTGTGATTGACTGTCACAGTTATAACACTTACAACTAAAAATGTGGAGTATGTTAAGTGGCATGTCGCGGCTCGAACCTTGGTATATTATAAATTTGTGTGTGATGTCAATGTAATTATGACTCTCTTGAGGTAGCCAAATACCTCGTCATCAAATTAGTGACACGCATAAATGGATTAGCGAGATTCCTATCTAGTGAAACCACAGCCAAGGGAACTGGCTTGGAGAAACCAGTGGAGTTATTTGGTAAAATCGAGTTTCTGAACATTTTTTTGAAAAGTTTAATTTCAATACAAAGCTTTTTAATTTTTGTGTTTTGACTTAAGATAATGATACAGAAGATTTAATCGGTAGTGTTTCAGTTTTGGAACTGATACTCCCCCCTTCAAAATATAACTGACTTAGATACTTGGGGAAACCTGTAACATTGTTGTTATTATTTTTTTTCCCAATTAGGCTATTACTAATAACCTTTTGTATGTCAGTGATATAATTTATTGATATCTGTTCACATGAATTAATTGAAAAAATATGCAGTAAAAGCTTCAGAAATGTTGTGAAACTATATTTTCTGACCCTTAAAGATGTAGACATGCATAAATTGGGCTAACAGAACATCCTACACTAGAAATGACAAACGTTATATTTTTCGAAGAAAAGAAAAAGTTGCAATTATTAAATTCAGTCTTTTTTTTTCTTCAACTGTTTCAGTCTTATAAGAAATCTTTCAGAACATAATTTCTCATGCAAACAATCCATCAGGTGTTTTTTTTTTCTCACAAAAGTTTCTTATGGCTTTATTGTCTTCTTGATCATTTGTAATGAACTCCAGCGATGAAGCGTTGTTGAATGTAATCTTGCAACGACACAATGTTAAAATATTCCAGTAACGAAACATTGTTGAATGTAATCCAGCAAGGACACAATGTTAAAATATTCCAGTAACAACACATTGTTGAATGTAATCTAGCAACGACACAATGTTAAAATATTCCAGTAACAACACTTTGTTGAATGTAATCTAGCAACGACACAATGTTAAAATATTCCAGTAACAACACTTTGTTGAATGTAATCTAGCAACGACACAATGTTAAAATATTCCAGTAACGAAACACTGTTGAATGTAATTTAGCAAGGACACAATGTTAAAATATTCCAGTAACAACACATTGTTGAATGTAATCTAGCAACGACACAATGTTAAAATATTCCAGTAACAACACTTTGTTGAATGTAATCTAGCAACGACACAATGTTAAAATATTCCAGCAACGACACATTATTGAATGTATTCCAGCAACAGATGGTCCGTTTGAGATAAGGACATTACGTCCAAACTAACAGAGATATAAGTCAGGTTTTCTTAAATATCAGTTTTCAAGTTCGGGATGACCGAAAGTTAATATCCTTTTTTAATTTGTGCTCATTCACGTTCTCATCTTTAAGCACAAACTTCACAAGTAGAACCCCCGTTGTTTCACAGCAGTATACGGACAAATTCTGGAATAAAAAGAAAGAAAGTTTCAATTAATCCCAGTTCAGTCGTGATAAATTTGTTTATATATAATACAATATACAACCACTAACAATGTTCATATTACATATGGTACTATATCAACTAAGAACGATAGTTTAATAAGACAAAATGCTTTAGAACGGAAGCCACTGTAGCAGTTAAGAGTTAGAAAAAGTGTTGTGTCAGCGAGGTCACGTGACTATATCACACCACTCCTTCTCTCGAACCTTCGGAAGATTACTAAATATAGTGTAGTCTGGTATATATAAGATGGTCACAACGTGACGGAATCAATGTGTGTAGGTAGTGAGTAATTGAACTGCAGTCAGAGAGTGTTGTTGGAGTTGAGCACGTTCGTTGTTATAGCGCGACTGTTGAAAATAAGTGTATCGGTAAAGTTATATTCAGAAAGAATAAACCAGTTTTATTAAGTAAGGACTTGTGTCGCTAAAGTTTCGTCGGAACGAAGTTACGGAAAATCAACTAACGAACGGAGACGTAACAAAAGAATAGTTTCTACATTGGTTTGGTTTTAGCACAAAGCTACATAATGGACTATCGGCACTGTGTCTTATGTAGGATAACAGATAATGGGTTAGTTACCCCCACCACACACACTAAGTGGCATTTCTCACTTTTATGGGTGTAAGTACTAATACAGCAGGATCAATCCCCCCCCCCCAAAAAAAAAAATATGAATTCACACCCTTCGTCCGAAAAAGCGATTTCGTGCCCCTGATAGGATTGTGAAACATTGAACAACAATATATTTAAGGTTAATTGAAGATGTAGTATAATTTTTAAAATTAATTTCCTTCCAAGAAAAAATATATTCATAACATTTTATTGTTATCATTAAATTATTCTAACGTAAGATATTTAGTCAAGTTTTTTAACGTACCATTTACACGACTTTCCATTCTCCTTATAAATTCACTCCTTGATTTATAGTTGGAGTGTGAACTTTTATTTGTTCAACGTTTACACCTTTAAGGGCATGAATTCTCACCTTATCAACAATATGGGCGTATTTGTTGGAATCACAGCTTAGTGTGAACTTTTATTTGTTCTACAATTACACCTTTAAGGGCGTGAATTCTCAACAATAGGGGCGTATTTGTTGGAATCACAGCTTAGTGTGAACTTTTATTTGTTCTACAATTACACCTTTAAGGGCGTGAATTCTAAACAATAGGGGCGTATTTGTTGGAATCACAGCTTAGTATGAACTTTTATTTGTTCTACATTTACACCTTTAAGGGCGTGAATTCTCAACAATAGGGGCGTATTTGTTGGAATCACAGCTTAGTGTGAACTTTTATTTGTTCTAATTGTATATCTTTTAAGTGTAGAATTAAGGCTTTGTTTCATTATTACTGCCACTTTATGGCAGAATAACTACAGATTGGTTGATAATTTTATGCCTTTCGACACAATAAATTACATAACAGATGAAGTTCAAGTAACGGACAATGGATAAATAAAATACTCATTTAGCGTATTCTTCTCTTCAGTATATGTTAAATAATTGGCCAGGTGGTTAGGGCGCTCGACTCGCAATCCCCGTCACGCCAAACATGTTCGCCCTTTCAGCCGTGGGGGCGTTATAATGTGACGGTCAATCCCACTATTCGTTGGTAAAAGAGTTGGCGGTGGGTGGTGATGGCTAGCTGCCTCCCCTCTAGTCTTACACTGCTAAATTAGGGACGGCTAGCGCAGATAGCCCTCGTGTAGCTTTGCGCGAAATTCAAAAACAAACAAACAATATGTTAAATATAAAGAATATATACACATTATTATGAAATAAGCCACAAAGTGCATCTGAAATCAGACTAAAGGTTATGAAAAGAATTCTAACTATATAACTGAAAATATATATACCTTCGTAATTTATCCTCCCATCGTTATCCACGTCGGTAACTTTAATTAACTCATCGAGCTGCTCATCTGATACTGGCTCCCCTATCATCTCCATAGCAACGCGTAGTTCATCCTGCAATAGATAATAGTTAGTATCCACATTAATATAATAGTGCTGTCTGTTGTATGTGTATGTAACTACTTCGCAGGATGTGGATTGGGTCCATGGGAAGATACATACAAATTTTCAGCTTTGCTGTTTTTTACCACTACTTCGCCCTCTGTTGATGGATCTTTACCAAATTTGCATGAAGGTTTGTTGGGTCTATGCGGATATACATGTAAATTTGCGGTTTCATGAATTTAAATAACTTCTGTCCAGGGAACTGGTACTCTGGCTAGTTATGTTTGTTTAAAGTTAAGCACAAAGCTACATAATGGGCTATCTGTGCTCTGCCCACCACTGGTATAGAAACCCGGTTTCTAGCGTTGTAAGTCCGCAGATACTGCTGTGCCACTGTGTCAAGGGTTAACTAACCACAGTCTGAAATACACAAAAAGTGGTTATAGATATGGATTCATAAACCATTTGCTTTGACACTAACGTCCATTTTAAATTGTACTAATATACAGTATGAGTTACAGACTGTAATACCCCCAGACTGGTTATACAAATGGATTCATAAACCATTTGCTTTGACACTAACATCCTTTGTAAATTGTACTAATATACGGTATGAGTTACAGACTGTAATACTCCCAGACTGGTTATACAAATGGATTCATAAACCATTTGCTTTGACACTAACATCCTTTGTAAATTGTACTAATATACGGTATGAGTTACAGACTATAACACCCTAGACTGGTTATACAAATGGATTCATAAACCTCCTAATCTGTCCCTAGTACGTTGTATTAATGTACAAGTCAAGCGTTAACTGAAATACAAATTGAAATACCCCTATCTTGGTTATAAAAGTCAGTTGATGAGTCACCTGATATGGCCCTACATTTCTCTGTATTAATGCAGAGAACCATTGATTGTCTTTTAGAATATTTAAGTTATGCAACAGAACAGATTGTTAAGATAGCTTTCTCCTATTTGAAAAGAAACAGTGAGTCAGATCAGTGTTTGATCACATGAATTAATCAATAAAATTGACTTTTTGAAAACGAGTTCAGAGCCATATGGGTGAGGTGCGTATTGTGAGCAACCCAGCTTTGTTTAAGTTATTGTAATATGACATTTACTAAGCTTTCCTCTATTAGGTTATGTAGCTTTTATTCAGATTAGATTCTGTAAAACTGTTATAGAGATTTTCATTCTGATTTTGTTACAGATTACATTAAGCAGTTTTCCGTTTAACTCAAGAGTTTGCTTTAGTTTTATTGTGGTTTTATTTTAACAGCGTAACTGTATTTTTCATGTAGCTAACGGAAGTGTGTAGATCGGGGCAGAACTAGAGAGAGTAAAACCATTGTGTACATTTTATCTACTGACTCTTTCTTTATGACGAACTTAGTCGAGTTCAGAAAGACACAAACCAATACTCTGTAGCGTGATATTCGTTAGACCTGCTGTTTAACGGAAAGTATCAACTTGCTTGAAAGGAAAAAATCGTGTAGCGAAAAATACCACACCTCTATATTGGCTATCAAAATCATATCAGTAATTGTCGTGAATTCGTGAACATTTCATATCACGTTAGGCCCGGTATATCTTGGTGGTTAGGGTGTTGAACTCGCAACATGCGGGTCGCTTAATCGTAACTCATAGACAAACGTGTTGCCCATTTCAGCCGTGTGGGAATTATAATTCAATTCTACTATTCGTTGGTAAATAATAGCCTAAGAATTAAATATAAATGGTTTTATTTAGCTGCCTTTCCTCTAGTCTATCACTTCAAATTTAGGAACAGCTAACACAGACGACCTTCGAGTAGCTTAGTGCGAAATCCAACAAACAAATAAAATTTTACGTTATTAAATATAACTAAAACTAAATATCATAATAATATAATTAATTGTGACATTTCATTTTCTACGTACTCTCGTTATAAAACCGTTTCTGTCTTTATCGAACACTCTAAACGCTGCTAGTAGATCCTCCATGACGTCATCTTTTATTGATGTTTGATGTTTTGCCATCCAAGTCATAAATTCTTCCTCGTTGATCATCCCGTCATCTAACAGTGTGAGATAAAGAAATTAAGGTTAAAAATTAATGAAACTGTTAAAGAAAAAAAGACAATCAAGTCATACCAGAAATTTACGTTTATGTGGATAAGCAAAGGTTCACAACTCTTTTACTGATCAAACTTATTCACTGCTAGAATCTAACAGAACTGATTAATATGTCTGAACACAAGGTGGTAAATTAAAATTATATCGACAAACACTGTCAAAAATAAATGCTCGAAATTTAAGTTGCTGAAATGATAAGCTATGGTAATCTCGGTACGAAAAGGATTTAAGGATTAATTTCTAATTCAAAATTAATCTTCATTTTTGAGTTACTGATAAGACTTTAATTCTATTTAGTTAAGATATAATGAGTAATAATTAAAAACCAAAACTCGAAACCTCATACCACAGCTATACCTCTCGAAATAATGAACGCGCTTCAGTTAACATACGAACACTCAAATTCGATGACGGGGAACCCACTTTGAGATTAATAATGCTTGGAGACGGCTTGAATGGGTAATGTAGAAAAACTTTAATATTAGTTCAACATTACAGCAAATGTACAACGTTTCAACAAGGTGTTGTCATCATCAGGTTTTGTTATCATCAAAACCTTGTCGAACTGTTATACATTTGCTGTTATGTTAAACTTATATTAAAGTTTTTCTTCATTACCCATTCAAGCCGTCTCCAAGCATTATACGAAAACTCAGAGGCGTCGGAACATGGGGTGCTGTAGCGCCCCCATTTTTAGATATGTGGCTGATATAGTAACTGTGAATTATACACTGAGTGGTCACAAGTAAACAGACACCTAATTTCTCGTCATTTAACTGATTTATGCTGACTAATTTATGTTCACAGAGCACTATATAAATGAAAATGGTCCGCACACTAATTATCTTGTGCTACAACATGCCTAGAACTCAAGGTTCTCTCGAATTGTCAGATTTTGTTACATGAAGGATAGTTGGTCAAGCAGATGGTGGAATAAGTCAGCGGCAAATTTCGCAGAATTTGGGAATCCCGCTTTCGACAGTCAACAGAATCATCGTGCAGTTCAGGAAACAGCTGAGCAGCGCCCAGGTCGTATTGGTCC